GGCGCACACAGGCAGCCGGGCGCTCCGCCGCCGGGCGCCACTGGGAGGCCGAGGCCGCCGGGCCGCCGGCGTCGGGCAGGGCCGAGGTCTCGCGCCACGCAGGCGTCCTCTCCGGCCGAGCGCGGCAGGGCGCGGACGCGGGCCAGGGCCGGCAGCAGCGGTCGAAGCGCGAAGGCCCAGGAAACACGGGAAGGCCAAGGCCGTGAGAGAGATCATTAGAGGAATGGCCTTGCGCCCCGGGAGAGGGGCTGGCCCACCCAACTAGGCATTCAGTGAGGACTGGGTCCCCATGGCGGCCCCAACTATCCGGGCGAGGCGACGGCCTCGGGTGAGCGGGCCGGGGGGGCGCCCGACCGGTGTCGGTGCCGAACCGGGCGCGCGCGCGCGCACCCGCGTGTCGGGCTGAGTGTTTGTGCGCAGCAGAACCCCGCCCCCCGGCCCCCCGCCGGGCCCCGGGAACGGGGCATGGGAACCGCCGGGGCCGATGGGGCCGGGCACACGAGGCACACCCGTGCATGCCGGCGCCGAGGCTCCGCCGGGCCCGTCTCATGCCCGGCACGCATCAGCCCCCCAGACGCCGGTGCATGCTCGCCCGCGAGCCCGCTGGCAGCCGGCCCGACGTGTTCTCACGAGTCCGAGTTGGTGCCCCGAGGCGCCCCCGGGAGCGTGCGTGCCGCGGCCTCCGCGCGCGCGCGCGTACCGCGACATGCGCCTCGGCTGACAGGAGCAGCATGCCACCGGGCGCGGGCCCCGGCACACAGGGGGCCACCCTTGCGGCCGGAGAGCGAGGGGCGCACCACGGCCGCCGAGCGGCAACGGCATGCGAGCGTGGATACACACGGCCAGGCATGCTTGTCGCGCCTGCCAGGCTCCCCCCCCCCCGGACGCGCCTCAGGCAGCGGCCGCTCTGGAGCCTCGGCACGCGCGCGGTCGTACCGGGAAACGGGGGTACACCCAACTCCCCGCTGCCCCCTCCTCCGGCCGCGCCGGCCGCGCCGCGTGAGAGGGACACATACTCACACGCGTCCCCGAGGGTCGGTGGTGTTCGCTCGGTGGCCGAGTGGTGGTTGTAGGTGCGGGGGGATGTTGTTTTTGTCCCGCCTCGGGGGCGGGGGCAAGGGGGGGGGGGCGAGCATACACAAAAGCATGCCAGTGTTGATATGCGCGTGCCGGTGGCAGACCCCGGCCGGG